GATCCCAAAAGAAAAATCTAATATCATCTGTATAATTTTATTGAAAGATATATGGAATTAAGATGAATTACATCATGGAAGTGAATTAGCCTTAGTAGAAACATTATTATAATAAACGATGTATGAATGCATATGCAGTCAAGTTCCCCAGAAGGTCAATATACAGAACTGAATCATTATATAGAATATATATATATATATATACGTAAAAATAAAATTAAACAATACCTGGAGATCAGTTGAAGATCAGTGCCCCATGTTGTAGATCAGTTGAGAATATCTTAAGGAAAATCTTGGTGTGAGGAATGAAGCCTGGTCCGAGATCGGTCCTTGGAATATTATCGAACATGAACTCATGGGAAATTAAGCATTATCAAAACTAGGAAGTTCTCCTTCTCAAAAAAATAAGTAGTAATACAAGATATATGTACATGTAAATCTATATATAGTCTTCCTATCAATTTCTTGTCTTCATATATGATTTTCCAGTTAATCAAACTAAGGTATATATATATATATAAGAAGTCAAGCAAGCACAGATGGATGCATATGGCAAGAAAATGAAGAAGATGAAAAGAAAGTTGTTGGATCAAGATTCATATACATATATATATATATATATATATGATGCAAGAAAACACTTTTTTTTTTTTTTTACTTTAAAGATCAATCAATCTCTCTTGATCACTTCTCATGATTAATTGATCAACAGATTTCAAACTACTAAGAAGCTAGAGGAGTCAGCAATCTGTCAAAGTGTCTAGCTGACTAGTTTCTATTATGCCAAAAGAAACATGTATACAAATATATATATATACACACACAAACTTGGGTACTAACCACATGCATGTATAAATTAATATACACAAAAAGGATTTACAGAACAAAGAAGAGATAATTAAGATGGAGAGACAAGGATCTTGGATCAAACTTCATTCCAAACACCCATTTTCCTTCTTTCAGCAGACTAGCTAGATCTCTCTCTTCCTATCAAAAAGCTGCATATACACTATATATATAAGCACTGAAAGTCTCTCTCTCTCTCTCTCTCTCATAAGAAACTTAAGATTGAATGACATGTGAAAAATCAAATTAAAGGAGAACAGACAAATTAAGAAAATGAAAAGAGAGATGAAAAAAATGAGGAAAGCACATGAGAGACAGGTCATTGTATGGATAAAATAATGAAAAAAGCTGGTGAATTTTGGAGGGATGGTGTTGTCTTCTTCTAAAAACTTTATGTGAGAGATTAATTTTTAAGAAGCTTTTTACAGAGTAAGTATGTGGAAATTGCAGAAAATAATAATAATAATAATGAAATTAGAAAAGGGAAGCTCTAGCACTGAAAATAACGAGGGTAGACCAAGAGTGAAAAAGCAAGAGAGATGGAGAATATGGGCCTCCACAAAGTGAAATACAATAATATTATAAATGCTTTACATATATATATTTATATATATATAATAGCACGTTATATATTGATATGTATTATAATAGAGGTTAGGTTAGAGTCTGTGGAGAAAAGCTATAAACAACAATGAAGATATCGAATCATGGAGAAAAAGGTTCACCGCCAGAATCAGACCCATGATACCTCCACTCATTTCCTTCTTAATTATACTATTACATATACAAATATATATATATATATATATATATGTCACAATTACCATGTATGAGAGAGAGAGAGAGAGAGAGAGAGAGAGAGAGAGAGAAAAGTACTTAATTTCTAAGCACAAGAAGTTAAGTTGGTCAAAAGCACCCCATGAATATTTTAGAATATTAGCCATCATGCACTATTAATTTTCTTTAGTATATATTATTTATTTGTGTCTTTTCCTCCTTTGGGTGTTATGTAGATTAAGTTCATTAACACCGCCTTCAAAATGGATGAAATTTACAGTGCATATATATATATATATATATATATATATACATGTAGATGTGGATTTTGAAGCTTACCATGACATGATGTTTTGTGCTTAATCAAGTCAAAATATTCTTGGCAATATAATCTTAATTACCAAGAAAATAATAATCCCATTAATTAATTTTTCTTAAGGTCATGATTGTGATATTACAGCCATTTTCAACTGTTAAGCATTGGTGCATGGCGGCAGAACATCAGACATGGTATTATTTTACTTTTTTTTGTATATTTTCTGTTTTATACAATTCAATAATCTAGTTCAACTGTAAATAGAAATACGCAGATAATGTTAAGCATCGATTTGCTTGGAAAAAAAAAATGCTAAGAAGATATGAAAACTATATATGTATATGTATATGTATATTCTTGACAGGATATATACATATATACGAGCAGGAAGATGAACATGAGCATGACAAATGACCACATCATCATCATCAAACACCAAAGTATTTGATTCTTCTTCACCAGAATAATATTTGAAAATAAATAAATAAGAGTCATAGTGTTGTTGTTCGTATCACATCAAAGAGGATTTTTCACCTTTTGCTTTTTGCCGACGAACTACAATTATTTTGTTTTTATGATGAATGTAATATATACAAATATTATTGAACACTTCAAATATTTTCATTAAATTTTTATATTAATTTTAAAATAATCTCTTTCCGAATGGGTCAACCATACTTATAATCCATCTTTTCATTCTTAATTTGCTCGTCTCCTACTCATGTATGGTTTCAATGCAAAAGCAAAGGAAGAACATCTCAATTCTCAATGTTCATATGATATTTGACTTACCATGTCTGATCTTTTCGGCTCAAATCACTACTACTTCCATTTCTCCTCCTACTAACTAGGACATCATGCACCATTGATTTTCTTCTGTTCCAGAAGTGAACTCTACATATGCTGAAGAATACAATACGAACATCTTTACATGACTGCCTGTGTATATAGAAGGTGTATTGCACGTGTATATATACGTGCATTACAATTTTAAAAGCTCTTTATATAAAATTGTTGATATCGTCTTATGGGGAGAACGATTTTAGAAAAGTCTCTCTGTGGATAGTGTATCTAACAAACAACTCAACTTGAAAAGATTATGAAGGTCAGATATTCCACAATTTTATTATGTTGAAATAACTGTTATTTCTGAGAGCATTTACAAATTTCTATCTAACAAATCTGATCACCGAAGATGTTCAGAGAAATATCCAGGTTATAACATCAAAAATCTGGTCTACCAATCAGAAGGAACTGAATGTACAGGGAGATCATCTGTACAGTTCAAATTTACAGTGAAAGAAAAGATAAAAGATTAAAATGTCTAAGCTGCTATCTGGGAAAGGAAACACAACAGCCTGCTTCTTATGACTGGTTTTTCACGATCTTAACGCTGCTATAGAAGCGTTTAAGATCCTTCATTGCCTTCTCCTCTATCTGAATAGAACGTATTGATGAAGGTGCTTCCACCTCTGGTTTGAACCATCGATTCAGCCCAGGAGAATCTGATGGTGAGCCCTGACCTGTAATGACTGAGAATCCGGCTGTCCTCGTCTTTGGACTGTGGGAAAGACTCTGATTTTTCTTCCCCTAGTTCCAAAAATATATTATGAATAATATAATCTATTGCGAATTGGCAAAAATAATCACTACGACTTCTTAAAAAAATGTTGAATATATAGTGACATCATCTAATCAAATACCATCGTGTATGAAATTTTTCTCCCGGATCTCTTTTATTTAAGACATCACCTTTACGACTATCATGCATGAAAGAAGCAAGGGAAAAAGGGAGGGGATATTCAAATTCACAAACCTGCTGCATCTGGATGTCCCTGAGAGAGGGCCGAGAAAGGTGAGGAGGAGTTCCAGAAGCCCAAGGAGGCGTATTCTTTTCTCCATCAGATGTCTGTGAGGTTTGAACTGTTGAAACGGGTATTGGCTTGGAAGGCAAAAGAGAACTAAGGAGAACCTTTCCTTTGGAAAGCTCTTTGACCCGGTTCTTATTCCCAACTGGGCAGTTAAATTGCATTTTGCTTTGCTCATCCTGGATTTCACGAAGAGAGGCAGATCCCTTCGAAATCTTAGCACCGCCCCATGCAGGACCCTCACTTTTAGGTGTTGGTGGTGGGGGAGCAACTTCTTTAGGGGTGTCGTCAAGGGCGCCACTCAAGAACATAGAAAGCCCACCCTTCTTGTTCTTCTTCTTGGCTGCTGTTTTTAATGAACCTGTATTTGTCACAGAGCCTGAACTGTCCATCTGAACAATAAAAAAAGATTCTTCGGACACTTTGCCAGCCATTGTTTCCTTAGTCATGGTGTCTTCCCCCTGTCAAAAGTAGCGACATAACTCAACAACTGTCATATATTATTCAAGGCACTCTTTTTTGCTCCATCCAATTTGTAGAAATAATATTCAGATGATCCTCTCCTCTGAAATAAAGAACAAGAACTTGGAAATACTAATAACAGATTAGGATCAACAAGACCAAATAATTTTTTTTTAAAAAAAAATCAGAGGGTGTGACCAAGCAGTACAAAGATTTCATCAAGAGATCTCCAATAAAGATGCAACAGTGAAATGTACTTATAAATCACAAACAGCCTATAAATTTTGATGTTTACCTGAAAGAATCATAATATCTGAAGGAAGCACTAATCATAAGACACTTCTACAGAAGCATGATCAATGACAATAAAGCTTTTTCCACATATCATGATCTGCCATACAGAAAATGCAAGAACAAGGATGGAGGTGCAAAATCTGCCTAAAGCTTGGTATGGAACAAATGAACAATGAATTGTTCTTAATTTACGTGAATGTAATGTTTGATACAAATCATGGCCTTTTCTAAAATATTTTGTGAAATTTAATCGAATTACTATAATTGGGAAAATACAACCAAGACTACAAAACACATCTCAAGCATTTTCCTCTAAACTCTCAACTTAAATTAAAATTTCCATCAAGTTTGATGAAATTCAAAATGCACTTGCAGAATTCCCTATCTAATTCATGTTGAAATGAATTAATTCCCATAATTTGGACAAATTCTAAAATTAAATATATAAATTTGTAAATGAATTCCAGATTTTTTAAACTCATTTGATCCAAACGTAATTTAAAAGGTGAACTTCAATGGATTTCTCAATACCCTCATAGAATAAAAGCCTAGTATTTAAATTTCAAAGGCGTGAGCAGGGAAAGAACAACCTTACAGTCCCCTCAATTGCCTACTAGAAGGAATCGTATATTTAAATCTAATTCTTGATCAAGAACAATATATTAAGTAAGATAGGCAAAGAGGCAGAGTTAAGGACTTAACCTTATTCTTGGGACCTTGAGAAATCTCAATGTCAAACATATCCTTGACAGGATTTGCTTCAACTCGAACCCCACTACGACCAGACACTGTCTGCACTTGTGCCATCCTCTGCTTGTTCTTTCTCCTTTGCTTTTTTGAAACATCGGCCTTCTTGTTTCCCTTTGCATCCGAGGAAATCATTTGTGGCGTCTCAATTGCAACACCGAATTCAGCAAGAGAACTTTCAATACTTGATCTTGTTTGAATCTTCGCAATTTGCTGGTCATCAAGAAGATGACCGCTAGATTGCTTCATTTCAAGGATCTCAATCTGCTGCAATTTTTTCCGTAATGCTCGAACCTGTTTGGAAATGCCTTCTCTCATATCATCTATGGGATATAGAAAAGAATCTAATCTAGGGTCTCCATTTTCCAGAGGGACTTGTTTCAAATGGTTGTCACGAGTCCTTAGGAACTCACTATCACTTCCATCCTCTTCACTACCGATAACAACAGGAAAAGTGGCTGTTGGAGTGGGCAGCCGACGGTTACTCCATGCTTCAGATGATTTCAAGTCCAACAACTTCTCTAAATTAGCAAGAATATCTATTGATGTGTTTGCAAAAGCATGTGTTGAAACTGTTAGAATAAAGTCAAGGTTGCGAATTGCTATATCCTGCAGAAAGATATGGGTATCTCAGACTCAAAATTATGCAAATGTCAGAATATCAAGCACTGTCACTAATAGACTTTGAAATTAAGATCTAAATTTTTGTATTGATATCAGTAAGGCAAGGTTACCTCGCAGTGCTTCTTCAGATCATCAGCTCCAAGCGAATCTGCAATTTCAAGCAGTTGTATGGCATTTCGTGGTTCCACTAGACACTCTGCTGCAACTTTTTCACAAAGGCTTTTTAAGCTGGGTGTGAGCCCATGGTCAGAATCATCCTTTTGAACAGAAGGTAGCATGTTATCGTACTCCATATCAGCAAAGATAAAATCTTCATCAAACTCCTCTAGTTCTTTGCTTTCATTCAATTTCTTCTTCTGAACACTCTCATCCAAATTGGAAGGATAGGCGGGATGATAAAGAGAACCCACAATCAAAAGATGTGTTTCACCAACTGAAACTGAAGTTGCCCTCTTCACACCATGTAATCGAATAGTAACTGGAGGCCCATCTCTACTTTCCTTCCCATCCCACATGTAAACATCACCTGTTGCTGTAACTGCAGCTGTCCAGTACTTCCCTGCAGAAATACTTACCATTGTTTTTCCACCAAGAGAATATAACTGCACAAGAATATCAGACAAGCATGTTTTCAGCTGACTAACATTTTTAATGTATTGAGAGGGAACAGTTACAGGATGACCAAGCTAGTTGAATCAAACCTGTTGGCATCTAAGCTCAGGATCTGATGAAACCCAGTAAAACAAACAACCATCATCTGTTAGCGCAGTGCTATGCACCATCCCTGCAGCTATCGCAATCACATGAAGCCGTTCCATGCGATGAAACTTCAAAGCAGTGCTACCACCTTTCTTTAAATTTCTCGAAACAATGACACGTTTTGGAGTAACAAGCCGATGGCCCCAAGTATACACCTGCCATGCAAAGCACATTTGGAAATTGGCTTTAGTTACAATCATCCCTCAAATGCAAGGTTAAAGTACCTTCAGGAGAGGGACGGTAAGAAATTCAAATTGAACAATAGTAATTTACATTTTGGCTCCAATAGCTAGCAATCTAAATATGTATATGCATATATATATATATATATATATATGCATATAGATGGGGCCAAGTAGTAACAATTTTGCTCATTGAATTAAAATCTCATCAATTGTTATCTAAAGGATGTGAATGTGGCACAAGTTTACCTCTCCATCAGCTCCTAGGACAATAGTGTGATATTTTGCAGCTGCAACACTTGTGAAAACCTTTCCTTTCAAGTACTCAACCAATCTCGGAGTGTAGTTTGATGCCGAGTGGGAGGTTCCATAACCAAGTTGTCCCTCCCTGTTGCAGCCCCATGTGAAAACTTCACCAGATTCAGAAACTACAGCAGTGTGCTTGTTTGCTGCTGCTACATCAACAATTTTTAACTTAAGAGAACTCACTCTACGTGGTGCGGGTTGAGTGTCCACTGAGGTGTAACCAAGCTGACCCTCTGAACAGAATCATATAAAGAGACAGCACTATCATTCAACAATTCTTAGAAACTAAAAGAGACATTATGTCACCCTGACTTCTTGACATTATATTTGAAAAACTAAACGATCACTTGAGAACCATATCTATATTCCTTTTGTTTGGATTAACAAAAGCAACTAAGAAGTGATGTTCTCAAATAAAGCTGTACTTGACATTGAACCAGTAACAACTAGATCATGTGACAAGCAAATTTTGTATTTATGTGTAAAGCTATACCCAGTAATTATACCTCTATTGGATCCCCAGGTGAACACTTCCCCACCCTCTGTAGCAAGAACAGTATGATGTTTAGCTGCAGCAATTGCCTTCACCCGGCGGGAACCTAAACCATAGGTCACCTGGCGGGGAGTGATAACTGCAGCTTGACCGCTGAAAGAAGAAAATGGAATCTAGTTCAGGATTTGAGACATTCTCTAATCAGCTTAAACAAAAAATTAATAATAATAATAATAACACAGTGAAGTAGTGATGTCTTTTAGAAGCAGATTGAGAATTAACTTAAGTACCTATATAGAGCATTTAACCTTGTGATAACAGCAATTTTATATTCACTTCCAATTGAAATAAGTTATATTAAAATCGACAAGAAAAGAATAAGAAGTACTCAAAAAGTATACCAAGAGATTCTTCATGAATGATTAACATGCACATACTGTCATGTAAAGAGAAATATCCTTTCATCCACAAGATCAAAATCAATTTCTTGACATTCTTGAACACCAAAACTGCGCAAGGAAACCTTAATACTGTATGGAAAGACATAAACAGGCAGAAAATTTCCAAGAAAATAGTTACTCAAATGGCACAAATTTAAGTGAAATGTACATTTAACTTTCCATCAAATTACAATTATGAAAAAAGGCAACCAGAAAACTTTATACCTGTGGATATCAAAGTCTGGGTGGCCAAGGCGACCCCCCCGTCCAAAGCCCCAGGTATAGACTTCTCCATGAGTGCTAACAGCTACACTATGGAACTTCGCAGCAGATACCAACTTGATATGAGACCCATGCAATGAATCAACTTTGCATGGTAACTTTTGGATGTGGGCATTTCCAGTTCCGAGTTGATAATTTGTACCACTTCCCCAACTAAATACCTCTGTAGCCACTAGTGAAAAGACAATAAACAGATTCCCAAAAATTACTACATTCTGTTTATAACAACAAGTTCCTTGTGAATTACGATGTAATATAGCACTAACTACCTGAGTTGTGTTCATTTCCAACAACTTGCGACACGGGTCCTGAGAGCAAATCAATCGGTGTCCGGTATTTGCAATCCTCTTGTGTAATAGAGGCACCAGACTGAAGAAGAATACAAGCCACTGCAAGATGACCAAAGTGCAAAGCCCTGTGAAGGCTACTCCATCCAGATTCTCCATCCTGAGTGCATAATACGAGGGTCTATGCTATGAGTAACTGAGTTTAATTTTTGCAGAAGTCAATAGTTACTGCATCACTTAAAATTATACACACACCCCTTTACTACATTAAGAAAGAGACACTGAAAATTTTTTCTCATCAATTAGAAAGTATTACAACATGTGTTAACAAATTCAACCACCAATAAAGGAAGAAGATTGAGACCAGTTCCTTGAAAAACAGAGAGCTAGCATAATATCTTCTCCACGTTCCTTAGAGCCAAAATAAATAAATAAAGACAATTTTGTTGAACAGACCGCTAATGTATGACAGCCAGAGAAGAAAAAAATATTTAGTGTTGTTGAAGGCCATGCATTAGGAATGGGGGTATAGCATGGTTATGTAAGGATTGAAATTATGTTGGAATTCTAATTCATTTCGTTACCAGCATCTCAAAATCATCTCTGTGGCTTCAATTTGCAAGAAACTTTATAAGTTGCAAAAAAGCGACAAATATCAATTTTATGCATCACATAACAGCATTTAGGATAAACTGCCAAAAAAAATCCAAAGACAAATATTACATAGTATGTGGTATGTTCTCTGAAAAATATAACAACAAAAAGTTCCATAAATTGCATTACATTCTTCTGATATTGAACTGACTTGTTAAAGAGAGGTCTACAAACGCAATTGATGAAAAGACATCTTAAATTAAAAAGGATAGAGAAGTAACAAACCCTAGCATCAGGATCGGCACCGGCTGCAAGCAGCCTCCTAACAATGGGAATGTGATTTCTCCAAGTAGCTATATGAAGAGGAGTCACACCAAACATGTTCCTTGAATTGATATTGCCTCCATTTTTCTTCAAGAAAGCCAATGCTGAGTCTATATCAGCCAAAGATCCCTCACGTACTGCAAGCCACAGATCTTTCTGAGGCCCAATACTCGAAGATTTACGATTAGGTGTTTGAGGATTCTGCTTTTGAGCTTGAGGTGAAACTGTCCCATTCATTCTTTTGTTTGAACAGTGATCGATCATTGACCTAAAACTTCACAAAGTTATCAACGAAATCTCACTACTGGCAGCTTCCGGCTACAAATATATATCCTTTCACTAGATAATACCAAGAATCAAATTATTAATGCTTCCTTCATGAAACCGCTCCATGTCAACTTTCAACAAACTGCTCTCATGCTGACAAAATTCTGCCTAATAATGCTGACAAAATTCTGTCTAGTCCATGTCACAAGTTAATCCAACAGACTGATGTAATTCAAAAATGCATCAGCAACCTGTTATCGACCATCCTCGTCATCATCCTTATTGTTGTTGCTAACCAGTGGTAGCAGCAATTCACAAATAGTCATCACACTTCATAGGCCCCACAGCGAAATCTCCAATAAAAAAAGAAACACACTGCATTCAGAATCCATCAGTCAGCAAAATACATCTTTTGGAAGTAGTATAACATCAAATCTATTTCCGTCACTGCAAAAAAAAAAGAAAAAACAATTGATTGCCTTCAGTATCATGCCCCCTCCAGCAAAGAACAAGACAAAATATTTAACAAAAAAAAAACAATGAGACATCGTAAGGTTTATACAAAATGCCAAGTTAACCGCATGCATTGGCAGCATGTAATAATCATAACTGCAAAACAGAGTCTGAATTGATTTTAGTGACTAAAGCCATCTCAAACATTTGAGAAACTATACATAGAAATGTAATGACTCAAACATAGATTTCTTTTCACAAGATAAATAATACCACTAACTTTTAGTTCAAAACAAACTTACAGCCTCTAAATATGTATGCTACACGATATGGTGCAAAATGAAATCACAATTAGCAAATCCGCTGTAAAATTTTCAAGAATGTTACTTTGGTCATCAGCTCCAAACTCTCATAGTAAGGGTTGATGACACTTGACAAAAAGAAGAGAGAATTAGATATGATCTCAAAGTCTAAAATCAACACATATTCCACTGAAGAGAACTCTGTCTTGCTAATTGAATCAAGGCATTGGTTTGATTTTGTTTCTTTAGTCCTTAATTCTAAAACTCCCAAAACAATGTGAAAAAGAAAAAGGAAAACTTCGCAGAAGAACTTCCAAGTGAAAGACAAAAATAGTTAAACAAACTAAAAAGAAGACTTTGCAGGAATAGAAAAGATCATCACCAGCAAAAACACTGGATGAAGCATAGAGTCTCAATACCCAGATCTAGAAATCGCATAAACTGAATAAATACCCATTCAAAACACCAAAATTCAGACAAGGAAAAAGTTCAGATATTACAATACCACAAATCCTCGACTGAAATTGGCCGCTTCTACAGACCCAAAAAAGAAAAAAGAAGAAGACCCAGTTACATCACTCTCAATGAATTCCCATAAAAACAAAAAAAAATTGAAATGCATCCAGGAATTACCGTCAGCAAAAACCACCATTAAAAAAATAAACAAAGCCCCATCAAGATTAAATAAGAGTAAACAGATTACCTGAGTATTAATTAAACTTGATATGTAAAGTTC